ATATTAGGGCTAATTAGAGGTATGAATCTTACCAAACATCCACTTTCTCAGAACAGGGCTCATTGCGGATCACTTCCGGTGCCATCCATGCCTATCAATCACACAATTATAACAAATGTTAGCATTTCTTCTTTTTCTCTCTTTAAAACAGGATTCTGTGGACAACGCATTGCGAAACAGTCTTATCTAAAAGTGTCTCGAGTTTAATACACGCTTAATAAAAGGGTTGATTGGAGTACTCATCACAATAAAGGGCGTTATATAAGGGGAACGGGAGTTATGGCTTTGTATCATAATATTTAATTATAATGTCTAGAGATGAGTGAATGCATGCCATTCCTTTCAATTAACTATTTCAACAATTTCCTGATAACGCGGTAACAATTTGTGCCTTAATTTTACGTTTTTATAGCACTAATAAAAGCATATAATCATATAATCGCCAGTAAAACACAGCAAAACAGAATACATACGACGGTTCCCTTGAAGGACATTTTGGTGGACCTGTCGTTCCACTGCTTACTGGTGCCGAAGTCGGATATCTTGAGCACATCGTGATAAGTGATGAGAACATTGGGTGACTTCAAGTCTCTGTGAATGATTTTATGCAAATGCAAATAATTCATTCCGGACGCGATCTGCAGCACCCAATCGACCACTTTCTTGGGCGGCACTTGTTTGCCACTCTTCAACAGGTCGTACAGCTGGCCGTACGGACAGAACTCCATTACAATGCAGTAACAATTGCTGGTCTGAGTGCACACGCCTTTGAACGCCACGATATTCGGGTGATTCAGTTTACGCAAGTGTTTGATGTCTGTCTCGTACTTCTCCTTCACTTTCTTGACGGCCACCAATTGGTGATTGATTTTGCCCATAAAGACCGCCCCCTGAGCCCCACTGCCCAACCACTCCAGATCTCGGATGTTCTCAAAGGGTATCTCCCAGTCGTCCACTTTGTTCTGTTTGTCCGCATTTTTGTCCAAAGCGTTCCAAATGGATCGAAAACACCCGAAGAATCCGTTCAAATTCCACTGCCGTTTGGCCGCCGCACCCGAACTCCCATTACTCGGACCTGCGAAACCCATGTGAGTGGGAGTCGTGGCGATGACCGCCGCCGCGTACGGCGTGTTGGGAGTGATGGCCATCTCCGGGTTGAACGCTATGTCCAATCGATTGGGCACTTCTTTCAGACTACTCTCGTTAAGCAAATCGGGCAGCGATTGGCTGAGACTGCCATTGCTAGCGCTGTGACCAATACTATGAGTGATCATCACTTGCGGCTCATTCACGGTCTGGAGTTTCAGTGAAACACATTTATTGCCAACGTTTGGGTTCACTCGTGGAAGTGTTAGACTTATTTGTGTCAACTCTTCTTTAATGCATAGCATTCTGTAAACAAGTCGTCGAAACAAACCATTAGATTATATTCATCAACAAAACTCAATGACAGAACAGGTGTGAAGACAAGTACTAACCCGTTATCAAAAGGCTCGACATCAGTGTCGGCGTCGAAATGAGCGGTCAGATCGTCGCTATATCTTCGGCCCACTTTAGGCGAGTCCAGTGTCCGGAATACTCCCGGCGTCTCATCCCTCGGGATCTCACTTAGACTGAGACCACTCTTCAACGTCGCGGACATCTCTCTAATACGACAATCAATGGGTTTGTAATCAATATTGCTTTGGAGGTTAAGGAATGGTTTCGAGTGTTAGCCCTCTTATCACCACTGAATACATCACTTATTATTGGTTTGAGATAAACAGCGAAACAACAATTGATTCATACAAACAGTGCAATAGAGAAGTGTTGTCAATGCGATCTCACTATCACTTTGTGTCCATTACTGACATTAACACTAAATGTGAAGTCAATGTGAAGTCAATGTATTCACCACTCGATCACAAATGAGTGTCAAATGAGTGGTGAGAGGGGTTGAGACCCGAGTCTAATGGTCTTCATATCGTTGATGGCTGTGAGAGAGTCAGACGAGAAGAGTGTGAGAGAGAGAGTGAGTGAGCAAAAGATGGGGATTTCGATGCAATCAATTGTTTTGCACTTATGTTATGATTGTCTCTCTATTGCACTCTCTATGCGTTGCTATGCATTGATGTGTTAAACACACCAAACACTACACAACTCTATGCAGTGCTTGTATGGCATTGAATGGCATTGTGTTGCAGTCGATGTGTGTGTTGTGAGCGCTTGCAGTGCCTGTAGTGCTCCGGACGGCCGACAGACACACTCTGACAGGTATGTCGTTATTCAAGTGTACGACACGTCCGCAGCACTCAATACAGCACTCAATACCAGTCCAGCCATTCATTGACGTCATTCACTGCGACGCAAACCATTGGTTTGAATCCATTGTATTCTTATATCAACTATAGTTACACTCTTTCCTCGCTTTTATGAAAACATTTGCATCTTTACAAAAATAAGTAACTAAATGTGAAGTCAATGTGAAGTCAATGTATTCACCACTCGATCACAAATGAGTGTCAAATGAGTGGTGAGAGGGGTTGAGACCCGAGTCTAATGGTCTTCATATCGTTGATGGCTGTGAGAGAGAGTCAGACGAGAAGAGTGTGAGAGAGAGTGAGTGAGCAAAAGATGGGGATTTCAAATGCAATCAATTGTTTTGCACTTATGTTATGATTGTCTCTCTATTGCACTCTCTATGCGTTGCTATGCATTGCTCTCTGTGTTAAACACACCAAACACTACACAACTCTATGCAGTGCTTGTATGGCATTGAATGGCATTGTGTTGCAGTCAATGCGTGTGTTGTGAGCGCTTGCAGTGCCTGTAGTGCTCCCGACGGCCAACAGACACACTCTGACAGGTATGTCGTTATTCAAGTGTACGACACGTCCGCAGCACTCAATACAGCACTCAATACCAGTCGTCGGTAAGTAACTGCAGTAAGTGACGCTGCGTTTGGTAACCAAACTTAGGTAACATAAGAATATAGTTGATATCAATGTGAGAAAGGAGCGAAAATACTTTTGTAAACGTAGAAATGTTTTTATTCATATTTATCAATAAGTTATTCATTTGCCAAATACAGTCGATTAAATAATCTTAAGCTTAATTACGTTATACATTGTATAATACAAACTTCAAAATTTTTAAGCATTTTTCCAACCCTTATTGCAAAACAAAATTAATTTTAAACATTTAATTAGAAAAACATTAATTTTTTATATTTGTTGTCAGAATAAACAAAAACATTTATTTAATAAAATATTTACAAAATGCATTTGTAAGAAGAGACAATTTAAACATTAAAGTCTATGGGAATGTATTCGCGAATAAATTCTGGAATTGTTGTTTCATAAAATCATTGTTCACTAAACTGTGGGAATATTGTATAGAGAATATAGTGATACTGTTTGTTGTACTGTTGGGTTGTCTGGTATTGAATGCATTGTTTGTGGTGTGAGTCACACATCAGTGCTCTTCTTCACAGCATTGAAGGTCTGTCTGATTGGGACAACACTTCCCACAAATGCATTGCTCTCCCAATGCATGCATTCAAAGCAATGCATCCAAACTTTATTTGTATTTATTTGAGCCAAACATTGATTGAAAAGTTGTTGAATAATAAAAAACAAGTGTTATATAGAGGAAGAGAATATAGAATATTCCGTGTTTGCTATCATTGCTATCATTGCTATGCTTTCCAATACAATCTCATTAATTATCCTCAATATAACTTTTGGCACGAAATGAGAAAATTATTGCCCAAAAAATGACGATATTTTCGGACAGACCTCAGAGTCAGGCATAGAGTGAGGCATTCAATACATAGACAGGCATTGGAGACAATAGAGAGCTCACAAACTGTACACTTATTCCCGCCTTTTATACAGCAATACATTTGAGACAACTTTTGTGTGAAAAGACTTCACTTTTGTTACTCAAAGCCATTTATTATCATGTCTGATTGGGACAACACTTCCCACAAATGCATTGCTCTCCCAATGCATGCATTCAAAGCAATGCATCCAAACTTTATTTGTATTTATTTGAGCCAAACATTGATTGAAAAGTTGTTGAATAATAAGAAAACAAGTGTTATATAGAGGAAGAGAATATAGAATATTCCGTGTTTGCTATCATTGCTATGCTTTCCAATACAATCTCATTAATTATCCTCAATATAACTGTTGGCACGAAATGAGAAAATTATTGCCCAAAAGATGACGATATTTTCGGACAGACCTCAGAGTCAGGCATAGAGTGAGGCATTCAATAGACAGCTATACACTTAGTCATGTTATTCTGGATTCACTATATTTTGGATATTCTTCGCGCATAAATTACGTAAAGAAATCACAGTTTAGTTTAATAAAAGTTTATTCAACAAAAAACATAACAATTCGTGGACGTTACTATTCGGCGAAGAATATCCAAAATATAGTGAATCCAAAATAACATGACTAAGTGTACTGTACAGGCATTGGAGACAATAGAGAGCTCACAAACTGTACACTTATTCCCGCCTTTTATACAGCAATACATTTGAGACAACTTTTGTGTGAAAAGACTTCACTTTTGTTACTCAAAGCCATTTATTATCATTTAAAATGTCACAAAACAACGACCTCTTGAGTCCCACTCAATCAAAGGGTGGTCTGAAGTACGACATAGTGTTGGAGAAGCCGTCGACGGATACGCCGCCGAAGTTGGGCCGACCTCTGGAGGCGTCGCCCAAACAGATCTCCGCCGAAGAGATCGAAAACAAGCTGAAGATCGCCGAAGAGAGACGCAAATCACTGGAGGCCCAGAAGATCGGCGCCGCGAAAGACCGCTTGACTCACGTCTCGGGAATTAAGGACAAGATCTCGGAAATAGAAGAGCAGAAGAGCTCATCGGTTCGTCAGTCGCTCGAGAAGAAGATGGAAGCGTCCAAAGAGAACAGGGAATCGCATATTAAGGCCATTCAGGAGAAGCAGAAGGAACACCACGAGAAGGTCGCCGAAGTGGTCAAACGCAAGGCCGAAGTGTTGCCCCCGTCCGGAGACTCAGTCGAAACCGACCAGTAATTGAATCAAACCATTGGATCCCAAATACAATTCACTCCTATATTCCTCTCATTATTATTATTAATTATATAAGTATTTAAAATGTGATATAAATGACACCAAAACTTAATATCAAACCTCATTTTATGCACCATTTTATTCATTGTATACTCTTTTCGGACAAATTGTTTTAATTTTTATAAATTACTAATTTTTGATTTGCTTTCAATTTTGCATTTCAGCTCATTTTGAATTACAGCTAATGTTTTATAACCTAATCTCAAAGTATTTGAAAATAAAGTAATTTTAAAACTTATTCATTAATTATCTGTTGACATGTCTATCGATTTCACTATTCGTTTCGTTAATTATAGTTTAAAAATGATAAAACAAAAGCAATCGATAAATTGAAACTTTCATTCAAGAGTACAACAATTGTACGGTAAAAACAACGCTATTGTTTGCCAATCAATACCAGTTATATTTACTGACAACAAGTTTGGGTTAAATAAACTGCGATAAGAAATTCAATTTGCAATTCAATAACCCCTTCTCTGCCACACATTTATCCTATATTTACAATAAGAATAGTTTGCATATGTGTGCGAATATGATTGAACATGACCCTTTTACTGTATTGTTTCATTTATTTGTACTCTCAAATCTAGTGATAAGAGCACCTGTATATGCATTTGTGCGCTCTTTCTCTACACTTTCAGCAGTACTTTAGAGCCAAAGCCATAAATCTAAGTCGATTTTGTCGATTCCCAGTAGACTTTTAAAACAAATACAAAACCAATTCCTGTGAATTGCTTTTAAGTTTTAAAGTTCTCACAACTTGTGTGCCTTTTGCCGGTGCGCGCCGTCGAGTCGTCTATCAAACTCATTGGTCTAATGTTTTCAACGACTGCCAGAATCCTGAATATCAAGAGTGCGTCTATTCTCTCTCTCTCTCTCTCTCTCTTTACTACCGGTATATAGCAGTGCAAGAATATACACAAGAATCGCCTGTTTTTATGAATCGTTTTATTCCACAATTATATTTATAATATTAAAATATTATATAATAAAAGATATATCAAAAATTTTACAGTGATTTGCATTTGAAATGATTATATTTAATAAACAATCATTTATTATAAAGCTTTACATTATATTATTATTAATAAAATTGAATAAATTATTTTGAATGTTAGTAATTAAATAGATTAATTACTAAACACAATGTAAAGTTATATATGGGTGTATAGGAAATTGGTGGAAATATTAATTGCGGAAAATGCTCGATTCTATATTTCTATATATACAATATATTTACAAATATAAATTTTCTCAAATATAAGATATGAGTTGTAATGATATGTAATTTATATGTGTATAAATGCTTGAAACATAGCAAAGATATTCTTTATGATACATACAATTATATTAACAATAGCTATAAATATAATTACAAAAGAAATGCACAAATCGATAGAAAATTTATATTTTAAATAAACTTATAGTCACTATAATATAGTGTATAAAAAATACCAAATAATATAAACGATGTGCGCGTTTGAGACACGATATGTGGCGCGAAGTGTAGAGTCAGTGGTTGTATCGGACGCGC